GATGGAGAAAACAGTGAAAAAAAAAAAAGAAACGAATAAAATGTAAAAAGATGAAAAAGGAATATAACTCACCTCGCCATTGTCCTGCACTTCCTTCACTTTACATTCAATGGCAGTGGATGGTATGTGTGAGTTCCGGAACACTGACATCTGAATTTTTAACGCAGCCGCCACCACTTCTTTAGACTGTAAATCAGGTGACAAGCGAAAGACGACAACAGATTTGCCGTTTCGATGAACTTCTTCACCAAACACCAGTGTCTCGCTTTTTGTTTTTGACTCTTCTGGATCAGACAAAACATTGTCGTTACGTGCTTCAGATTCTACTAAACGTGTAATACGTTCGATTAGCGGTTTAGCCTTCGGTGATAAATGAATTTTTGGCGCAGATTTAAGATTTAATTTAGCCAGTATAAGTGACTTAATAGTTTCAATCCTCTCTTGAGCAGCTTGTTCTCGTACCTCAGAACATTTTGTACAAATGGCTTCATAAGACCCAACAAGCATCGTATTTGACGCTTGCAGCATCACCATAAGTACCGCAAACCTTTTTGAGTAAAAGCCGACAACCATTTCTTCTAAGACCACAAACTTATACGAGTATCCACCGAATTTGATGTATAAATACGCAGTGTCTCCAAACACCATCCCATTCTATTATTTTGCTGCCAAATGCAATACAATTTTTTTTCATTACTTTAGTCCCCTCCCATTTCTCCATATACTTCACACTCTTTTCACAAACCTTATCTTTATTTCTCAACTTTTTTCGCACTATCACTAAAATTCCTTCAATTGTCTATTTTCAATTAGAGGCGGTGCCTCTGAAAACTTTCGACCAATCAGTTGCCGCGATCAAACTTGATAGCTTTAATGCATTTTAAGTTAATAAAAAAGTTGAAAATCTTTTTCTTTTACCCTGCCCCTTGCTTAAGCGTAGTTATCGCAACATGATTCTAGATAGACAAGTTGTTTACTAGATAACCAGCATGTGAAACATTATGGATGACCGTTGGGCATTAATGGGTTTTTGTCTGTAGATGAGAATACGATAGAATCTGACGCGTCAGTAACAGCTTATAATAACAAAAAATTGTGGTCATAAAAGCAATCACACTAATTTTACTTCATCTTTGGCGACATCAAAGTTTAGCTGGTAAACCACTCGATAAAATGTTGTAAAGCTGTTTTGCCCGTATGTGTATGTAGACGGACGGACGAAAACAGGTACGTAATTGTGTGTATGTGTGTGTATGTGTGTGTTTTTGTGTGTGTTAGTGTATTTACGTGTGTATTTTGTGTTTGTGTGTGTTTGTTTGTGAGCGTCTGTGTGTTTGAGTGTATTTATTTATGTGTACTTGTGTGTAGATGTTTGTGTGCTTGTGTATCTGTTGGTTTTTTTGTTTGTCGTCATATCTACGTAATATGCTGCTGCAGAATACCTGGATTTTTTTGTGAGAAGCAATTATAAATTGGTAAACTAACAGTGATTAAATGTTGTGATAACAAAAATTTTGGAATCACCAAGGTAGCACATGAAAATTTTGAAGAATAAAACTTTCAACACTGAGAACAAAGTATAATGAAATTATAAAAAATAAATTAACTTTTGACCAAATTTTTCTTCCTTTGATTTTCATCCATCTTTTCAGTTTAAAAACGACAGAGACTATAAATAATTGGTAGAGCTGGACACATGTATAATTAAGAACTGTTTTCAATATAAATCTTTCCCAGAAAGTCAACAGAAAATTTTTTTTCTTTATCATACTTCACTACTGTATTTTTTGTCATCTGGAAAAAGCAAGAACCAAAATTTTAATTTACTTTTGCATCACAACAACAAAGATCAAGTCATCTCAATAACGCTTCTTTTTCCTCACTCATAAGTTTGTTGTTTCATCTTGTTACCAATAATAAATAATTCTTTACTCACTCACCACTCCAACGCAAATAACTTAATAATCGTGAATAATTGAATACATAAAAAGTAACAGAAACAGGTGAAGAGAAAAAGACATGCGTGAAATGTATTTTTAAAAGGAAACCCGAAAAAAAAGAAGAAATCACCTGTAGCTTTTTAGTGCAGATTCTAAATACAGTAAGCAACGTATCAAAAATGTTATTGCATTGAATTTTTGTTCACTTTTACTGACAACGTCTCTAAGTGATTACCAGAACGGTAATACATTTCTATTGTCGTGAAACAGATCATCAATAGTCCATTATTACTCCAATAAATTAACAAGGCTGTATATAACTGATAAAGATCGATAACAGAGGCCACTGATAACCTTTGGATTTCTGTTACCCCACTGCCATCTGGATCATTTCTTCGAACATGGCTAAAACAACGTTCCAGTAGATATTTAAGTAAAAAACTAGTTTTTAATTGAATAAACTCTGAAATTCAACCTTTAAAGTGATTAGTTTTTGTTTCCAACTACATAAATAAAACCTGCGCAATAGCTGATTTAAACTTAAACTGTGTGAAAAAAAAAAGAAAAAAAACTACTGTTGACTGCATTGGTTATTTAGGCTTCCTTCACATTTCTGATATTTGGCTCAAATAGCCAGCTAATTCTTAAGTTAATTTTTAAAAGCTTTTACTTCTAGCAACAAAAATTAGCTACCAAAATGATAACTGTACTGGTTTGCCTAACTCAACTCTTCTATAATTACCCAATGAGCGAATTTTTAAACTAAAATTAGACAGATAAAGCTTGAGATGGGCAACAAGTTTTAGACATTAAAACATTGTTTTTGAACTTACAGACTAGACGTCACTAAAAGTCTAATAAACAGATATCAGCAAGTAATTATTAATAGAACAGTGCAGAAGCAAATCATCGGACTTTGATTTACAGACAAACATTCCCCCCTCCCCCCACTCTAGACAGACCTGTAGTTTACGGACAGTTAGAATTGTTAAAAATAAAAGTTGTTTAGATAACCAACGAGACGAAAGTCTTTTGCAATAAGATTAAAAAACAACAACGATTTCTGAAAATAAATTTAGTGGTGAATATATAAAAAAGCCAAAAATAATATAATTGTAAGCAGCAATCTCCTTCAGCTGCAGTTTAATGCAAAAAAAAGAAAAAATAATAATAATAATAATAATAATAATAATAATAATAAGTATTAGTTATTGGTATTACTGTTATTATAATATCATTGATATAATAATAATAATAATAATAATAATAATAATAATAATGGTATTAGTTATTGGTATTACTGTTATTATAATATCATTGATATAATAATAATAATAATAATAATAATAATAATAATAATGACAATAATGATAATGATAATTAATAATAATAATAATATTAATAATAATAACATTAATATTAATATTAATAATAAAACTAGTGACAGTAATTCAACAATAGTTTATCTGCTTTTATTTTTTCTAATTTACTAAAAAACGCTGTAACTTAGGGTTAATTACGCATTACGCGAAGCCATAATGTTAAATCAAATGAACCTCAGTTGTAAATTATATTGACAATTTAAGAAAATGTCATCGCCGCCAATGAGCTCATCTTAAATTATTTGTGATTTGCATTTAAGCAATTACCCACTCATCCCCCTTCATTATTCAAAACCGAAACCTCAAAAAAAACAGGAAACCATCTTAGAGACAAGAACCATTGTTAGACAAGACTTAAATACCGCGTAAAATCAGCATCTTCAAAAAAACAAATTTTTTCTATTGCCAACATTTTTCAAGCACTCACATAGCACAGCTTTGAGATATAATTACAACCGACGTCTTTGAGCATTTCTTTGTTGGAAAGCTCCTTCCCTCCGACCAAATGCAAATCCTACTCCATCTACTGACGACAGGTAAGTGTTAAAAAAAAGCAATTTTGTTATCTTTCATAACTACATAACTGTAAGACAGTATGTTTGTCGAGAGCACTCCTACGTAAGTTTTACAACCTACCAGGTTTACCATCTTTTTTTTTTTTTTTCAGTAAAATTCCGTTCATTACGACTTAAACTGCCACTTGAATTCAAAAATATATAATTTGAACTGTTACAAAAAAATATCTAAAGTAGCTTTCAGCTTTAACCGGTAACGAAATGGTCAAAAACTGCCATGACGATGTTCATATACAGCCTCGTAATAAGGTATCTTTAGCTTGGTTACTTTCAAATGTTCTGAGTGCTATATAAAAAAGAAAAATATGTGGAAAAAACGTCTGAAAGAAAGCCCTAGTAAGTGACTCTAAATTAGATCTTAATCATCAAATGGTTTATAAAAACTGAAAATATAGAAAACGCAATAATGCAGACATCAAAAAATAAAAATCTAAAAATTACAATTAAAAAGCAAAAACAAAACAGTAACATAACATTGTTTTTTTTTTATGAATAAAGGAAGAATCGTTTTTTTGTCTCTAAAAAACTGCTTCGTGGAAAAGATAGTGATTTTCAAATGTAGACACTGGTCTTATCAAGTTATCTGAATTGAGTATTCTTTGTCCTTTTATTACCTCTACATCGTCAACAAAAACAATCCTCCAATTTTTCAATTCGTTGCTAGTGTCCATTTATGAATTTATTTTTTCTTACTCCAGTAGATAAATGCTAAAAGCTTTTTTGTCAGAAGATATTTTGGGAAATAAGAAATCAGTTTTCATCAGTATAAAAAAGGAAAGCTAAGGCTCAGTGTCGAAAAATATTTGCTATTTGCTATGATAAAGCTTACTATAATTGGTGATTAGAAACGTAGCTTCAAATACCAATTTTTACTGCACTAATTGAAAAGAAAATTTTTTGATCAAAAAAATACTTCAATCTAAAAAATATTTGGTGTTTAAAAAGGTAGCACAAAAAATAGTATAAATCTAGAGGAATTATCTTCCATTTGAAATGCTGTCAACGATCTGAAAAACATAAAAAAATAAAATAAAATGAAAATAAAATAAGAAATAAAAAAAAGGCAAAAATTACAAAGAGACAGTGATAATCTAAGTTTTCAGTTAAACCATACCAGAACAAATATAGATGAAGGTAACGACATCCAAACAACTTCCTCCAACAACGATGACTCAATCACTGAACTTTGTAACAATAACTTCGGGAACGGTAAACGTCCAGGATTTAGTGCCATAACAACAATGCAAAATTCGTAGGTTTCTGAGGCTAATAATCGAATTTCTATCTAAAAAATTTTATACACTTAATCACCACTTTACTTGCTAAACCAAATAACTGTCCAATTATCTGTCTCTGAAAAATAACAAAATTTTCTTCGTTACAAAATGTATTAACAAATTTTTATGAATAATAGCAAATAAAAACACAACAAAAAAAAAGTCAAATTCCTATTTAAAGCCTTATTCGTATTAAAAACAGTTAGACTATTTCTGCCAGCTGAAAAACCAGCATTGAAAGTTTTAACAAAAAATTTCCAGCTGACTCAAAAAACTGAATGATGAAATCGTTTTATAGTTACAGAAGGTGAAAGTTTACTTGTTAACCAATTTCTTTTCAAAAAATATGATTCCTACCTTCATAAAAAATTACTCAAAAAATACATCCCTATTAATTGCTGATAAATATAAAAAAATCAGAGCACTATCCCAGCCACTGTTTTATTAATAAACTCTACTTAGTCATAGAAGTGCGCCCTACTTAAAACAGTCAAGGAGTACCCCCGTATTGCAGGCAGGGCTTACCTCCAACTGCTTCTTTCTCAACAAGATAAGATTTCTTTTGATTCTCTTCTTCAAACCCTAATTTTTCTGATATCATATAATTTTTGCTGTGCTGAGAAAATGAAGTTACTTCTTAAAAAAAAAAACCAACCTTTACTGTTCTCAAAGAAGGTCATTCTAATCAAAACTTTCAAACTTTTCTGTAATCGCTAGTAAAAAGCTGAATTGCACTGAATACGTTTTTTCTAGCCCAAAGTTCACTTCCCAGTGATATCACAATAGATGACAATTCATGACAATAAATTATTATTATATATAATTTGTTAAAAGTTAAGCAAGAAACAGCTTTCAAAGCTCAAGTGTGTTAAGCAAGTCAATGAAAACAAAAACACTCAATGTTTTAGACAATAAGTTAAGTGTTGCCTGAAATTTTAAAGTTTAAAGTAGTGCAACAAAATATTTGTGTATAATTTAGAGCCTCTTAAATCAGTGATGATTATACAATATTTGGTAATCACAGGAAATACAGGAAGTACCTAATGATCACAGGTTTCATCAGCATAAAAACCTGGTCACCCTTCTTTGTGCTTACGGACCACTGATTACGGTAATCGATGTTAACACTTGCTTAATGGACAAAGTAGACAAGTTTTCTACTTGAAAAGCAACCACCATTAAAGAAGCTCATTTGCAGCTAACACCAAAGACACGAATTAGTTCATATCACTTCCACATCAGCCCTTTTAATAGGCCACTCAATGAAACAAAAAAAAAAAAAATTTCTTCGTCTTTTTTTTTTTTTTTAACGGTTTGAACAACACAAAAATTGTCAAACATCAATTCGTTCCATTCTTTTTTTTTCGCCTGTCCCCCCGCCTTTCCCTGTCCCCGTCCTCTCCCCTAACGCCCCCCTCTCCCCGATCTTCTGTTTTTAGCCTGCCTCACAAAATGAGATTATCTAAAGAAATATATCTGTAGCCGAGCAACACACATATCAGCTCTTTGTAAAAATGAAATTTCTCAAGTAAGAAAAAAAGAAACAGAAAAAAGCGTGTTTTGGGTTCATGTAAATCATCGAAAGCAACAGCATTTCAGTGTCAAATGTTGGCTGTTGCTGCTGTGTCGCTTTTGTTCCACTATTCGTCACCAATCGACTA